GCGCAAAGAATGCCTGGAATGCAAAGACTTCAAAATCGTAATGACGCAATCGCTTCTAATAAGTTTTAAAAAGTCCGAAACCAATGAAATTGATTCGAACGAACGTAATTGCACGGCCGAGAATAGGAATGTATTTTTAGAGTACGCTGTGAACAGGTACCTCGCTTCTAACGCGAATGAGAATTCAGCGAAACTAGTTGATTTAGGAATTTCTACTGTTTTAGTTATTTCGGTGAAAGCTCAGATTTTCTATTTGTTGATACATACAAAATGATGCTGCTCACGTTGCAATATATTTAACGAGACCTCTATAGATAATACGTGTACAATGTACATAAATCTGTCAAATCCAAGATCGCCGAAATTATCGGACAGTTGAATCACGTGGTAAGAGTTCTTGAAAACAATCGATAACACAAAAAACACAGGAGCCAATGAGAAAAATAAAAAGACGATCTTACCGATACAATGGCCAAATTGGAATTTGTCAAACTTAAATACCCCCCCCCCCAAATTTCTATTTCGAAATCGTATTGCCAGCGAACAATGGAATTTTCCCATAGACTAAAACGGCCGCAAAATCAAATAAGTATTTCGTTATCGTCAAAGTCTGAACTGACCTTAACCTCAAGATTGAGGTCTAAGGGTCATACATTTATCCACCTTCTATTCCTTTTCGTTGAATCCGTACACAAGAACCTTCATTCACGTAATTTACTTCGTCTCTTTAGACGAGAAACTTTCGTGTTGTAAATTAACCGTTTAAATTTCGCGCGAAAATTGGCTCATCGTTACAAACTACTGGAAGACATATTACCCGGTAAACATACTTCGACAAAAGCTACGCGTGTGCTGTAACATTGAATAATTGAATAATTGAATAATAATAAAAGTACAAAGAATATCAAATAATATAACATTTGTAAATTGTCAAAATAACGGCAAACAGCATTTCCGCTTCGTAGCAGCTTTCTCGAAGTGTGAATAATCAATAATTACGAGAGTTCCGTAAGAGCGATAAAAAATTAAAAATAATTTCGTGTCGAAACGTTTGCTGTCCAGCAAAAGTAAACGAAAGGTTGACAATCGTCCATCATTTCCATAGCGCGTCGAATGCTGGTACGTAGAATAATATTGAAGAGACTCTCTTGGCTGAATTTCGAATTTCGCGCCGTGTCTAGTAGACAGACACGCTCACGTAATGGCGTCCCTAATGCGGACGGGTCGCCACGTGATTTTCCCAGGCATTCGAATTAAAATCGTAGGTAACCAAACACCCGACCGGTGCTCTGATGCAAAATCTATTTTCGCGGAACAGGGGATAGTTGCAAATCGCATGTAATCGGCCGCGTCTCCATAAAGCGGAACAACAGAGCTCACAACGTTCTTCAAATATTTCTACTGCCACGATCGACCAGTCAAACGAATGGACCAGTAAGAACTGGAACCTGCTATACTTAACGACAAGTGTTTAAGCCAACGCCTATAGAAAAAAAAAGTGTGTAACTTAATTGGTTTAATATAACAACAAAAATCACAGTAATTCGATCCGTAACCGCGTACGACAGTCCTTAACCTAGAAAAATTGCATGGAAAAACGTGCGAAAGGAACACGTCAGTCCTGTACAGCAATAGGCAGATGTGACAAGGAAAAATAGGCGCGAGCGACCATTCGAAAGGGAAGGACAAATGAAATAGAGTCAAGTAAATAAGTGTCTATCCAAGATCCGGCGACCGTGAGTCTTCAAGGTCGCCATTCACTCAAAGATCAAGATCAAAACTATCAGTTCACGAGGACATCAAAACGCCGAGTCGATTGATCGAGCGACAATCGACACCCAACTGGCCCACAGCCGTGCGACAATCACTCGGTCAATTTTCATATCGAATCTTGATCTGGAAGAGTTCGATAAACCTACGTGTGACAATTCCTGAGGCCGTATGCCAGCGCCATCTAGACGCGTCCCATGGCCACGTTCCGCGTCTATGGAAACTCGACGAATTAATCCGAGAGCGTTAATCCCTCCGTTGGCAAACTGAACGCCTATTAATTTGCAACGTCCAAGCGCCTATTGAAAATCGAAAGTGAAATCAGGAGTAACGAGGGCTTCGGCCATAATTGACTCTAAAGAACCAAACAGGAGTGTTTTATGGTTATACACGTCAAACTATATATTTAACCGTCAAGGACGCACAACAATGGCAGTATCGATGACTTGTTTTAAATTACTTAGTGGATTTAGAATTACAATGAACAATTATAAAAAGATCACTGGACTACCAGCAGGTCGAATAAAGCGATCTCACCAACGGACACGTAAAAATAAATTCAATTACCTTTATACCGAGTAAGTCAATGGAAAAACTAATTATCGTAATATTTACTCGTGACAAAAATAGACGCGCTATACCGTGTGCTACGTTACAAGTTTTTTTTGGACATCACTACAAAGAGATTTTTCGATTTCACAGCTTTTGTTTATTGGATCGACTCGCCTTGGTGCATAACCGCCCATAATTAACGTACATACATTGCAGAATACTACGTACGTCAAAAGCTAAACTCGCTAAACGAGTTACACTAGTAGCCGCAATAGAAATATTTGTTATTGTCAGTTAGCCTAACTTTTTTTCATTTCCCCATTCTTTTTTAACTAATAAATCTTGCACTTCTAACATGATATGCCCGATAATACTATCGATAGATTTTCTTTATCTTAATTTCTTATCAACGCTTTTTGCCAATATCATTGATATTTTTCTCGAAGGTCTCTTACTTCCTTTCGATAACTCGCAATACACTGTACGATAACGCAGCGACGACCAACGTATCGAAAGGAAGCCAAAGCGAAGCGGCCGTACGTATGTACATATGTGTTGTTGGATATATTTTCAACGCCCAGAGTCCGTGCCCCGGAGACTGAAAACTAGAGCCACGTGCAGCATAGAAAAAAGAAAAAAAAAAAAAGTAAAGCAAGAATATCCCGGCAGGAAGTGACTTCAACCGACTCGACGTAAAAGGAATGGCTGTTAGAAAGAAAAAAAAATTCAGAAATAAGATAACGAACGACCTTAACGATCCTCTTTCTCTTCTCTACCAGTGAGAAATTCTCAAGTAAGCAAACTCGATAAAATAATTTAAAATCTACAAAGTAAGCATCAAACCTGATTTCCACTGACCTTGTGTCGATTATGCAAAGCAAACTTGCAGGATTCCACGTCACGGTATACGCCCAGTGCCAAGCGACATATCACGAACGTCAACGAATCGGTTTGCGAATTGCAGTAAGAAAATCGAAGAAACTCGATCGTTCAAATATACAAAAAAGATAAACATGACTCCTAACCCGAGAAAACGGATGGGTTGGCTGAGTCAATGCTTTCACGAATGTAGAACAAAATCAGGCGATCCAGGTTAACCAAAGGCCGAAGATTGTGAACTCCGCTTAAGATCTATTTTCCAATATTTACATTAGTTTCTCCGTGTTCGTAAACGCCGAGCAAAAGCACCTGGTGATCTCATACGTGGCCGTCGGACATGAAAGCAATATACAGTGCACAAGGTATTACACATTTTCGCAAGACTTCTTGTCACGTGGATAAGAAAAAAGAAAAAAAAATTTTACGGACGACACGGGACAACGGAGACACGCGAGGCGTGTCTCGTGAATAAGTTAGGTGCTTTTTGGCGTGAATCATCTACACAAACTTTGCATACCAGACGTTTCCGACACCCGCCGCTTTACGTTATCGTCCTGTTTCATCTGTATTGGCAACTGACGATACGTACAGATACGTGGCGCGGGAAATCAGTGCATTAATAACACACGGTAAAGGTGAAAACCATAAGTGCGTATATTGCGTGCATGTAAACCAGCACGTCATTGACCCGATTCTCGCTCTTCATTCATTTATCGATTGACCTATAAGCCTTGGAACACCCTATATAAGCGGACTTGCCCAACGACCGCCTCCTTCCTTGTCTCCTACAGCGATGCCGCCTCAGTCACTCTCTTTCTATTGTACCCACGAATAAGGAACAAAAGACAAAATGACTATATACCACTGTCGCAATAACATTCATCGACCCCCGACCCCCACCCGAAAAAAACCACCTTGACCGAATTTTCACAGTCGTACCAAACCCCATGCTGTAACCGCACGAAAGTTTTCGTAGGGCAGTTGCTAGAAGTAATGTATTTGAAACGCCTGAAAAAATCATACACAAGCCACGTGAAGTTGACGCTTTACACGTGCCGGATTGTTTTGCTAACAAAATCAGCGCGAACCGACCATCGTGTACCGAATTAGAATTAGAGCCTAAGCGCTGGAGAGCTGGTTCGCTTAACAAGTGTAAAAGAGATTGCAAGGGGGAAGACGATTGGTTGTCTTATCGAGGGAAATAAAAATTGCTTGTATGAACGTTAAATTTGTACTAATTCATATTTTCATCATATCCTCGTGGCACTGGGTGATAAGCATTATCGGACTCGGGCTGTCACGTTGGCATCGCGTATAACTGAGAATGCAGGTAGCAGCGAACACGTGCTCAAACCAATATTGTAGACGCCATTTCTTAAAATGTTGTATTTGGAAAACAAATCTTGCTGCACGGCGAAAGAGAAACGAGGAGCACAGGGGGAGGCCGCATGGCGTTGCGAAACTACAGTAATAAATGGCCTAAGCGTTACTCCTCGTTGTGTGCGTATGTCAAAGAAGAGACAGATCAAAAAATTATTTGAAAAAGAAAAACAGTGAAACACTTCTGAGATCGCTTGGTGGATTCTCAAAATGTATAATAAAAAAAAAAAAAAAAAAAAAAAA